CACACTTGAACTTAATGTTTGTACCGATAACTTTACTCTCATTTTTTCTTTGTAGTAGTTCAAGTGTCTCCTCCTCAGCTTGGTGGCGCAATGTAGACCTGTATCCTCTTAAAGGTTGCCAAGCTGTTTGAAATATTCCCGCCTAATGTCATTCCATCCACCATCTTTTAAAACAACATAGCACCTAAAGTATTGCGCACCAATTTAATTCACCTAAAGATGCCCCTAAAAATCGAAACGAATCTATAAACCGAAATTTTATATCAGTTTCATCATGGAATAGAGTAAAACTTATAACTAAATATATTTTTCCTTGTTAACTGGTAAACAAGATACTTTGTTATGCTTTGCTAAATGGGGTATTATAAAGTGACTATCATACCCTGAACGGTTATGGAACACCACCGGTATGGTAAAGCTCTTTTTAAAGTTGGGGTTACAATGTGCATGTGCAAAGCCCCCATGATCAACTACGATTTTATCCGTAGATGTGAAACTATTATTCACAACGATTGGAATGATATTTTTATTTTTCGATTGAATAAAGTTTACTAATTGCTTCAACTGATTTTCAAACCAAAACATGCAATCTTCACCTCTGTATGATTTGAGTTTTTGAAAATCTTTATGTGTCAGTGAATGTTTTTAATATGGACTCAAAATCAGCATACACGATATGCGGTAGTTTTTGTTTCGTAAAGAGGGGGTGGGGGGGTTACGCCAGAGAGGACACCGGTCTCCGCCAGATTTAAAAATCAATATGTCACCGGAAATCCTGAATCTCATAAATGTCTTGATATTAAAGTATTATTTTTGGCCTCTAGAATGGTCTTTTAACCATGTTTTTCTAAAGAAATTTTTTTTTTAATTTTTTGGAATGTGTCCGCCATGGTGTCCGCTGTGGCATGTAAAAAAGTTTTTGAAGCATCTGTACTCAAGGCGCCAGAGCGGAGACATTTCTTTCCTTAAAAATATAGGCTACACTCAGGGTCACTAAAACTTTATTATTTTGTTGAAACAAACATTTATAACATTTTTTTTTTCGTACAAAAGATGTTCCAAATATTCTTCCTTATAGTGTTATATGAATACATTACATAAAAACATACAAACAACATACAAACATTTCAACATACTTTTATGCCTACAAAAAAAAGGCAGAAAGTTCCTATTTATTATTGTCCTTATTAAAACAATTCAAACAGTATCGTGGTTGATCTGGACAAGTTTTACAAAAAGTGGTACCTTTTTTACTTTGTTTTTCGGTATTTCATTTTTTAATTTCTTCTTATAGCAACCCCTACAGTACCTTCTTCCGACTCTTGAGTTTCCTGGCTTTTTCTCAAATGCATTTGTTTTTTTTAAACATCGGGATCAGTCAATGGTTTATCTAGGAGCTTACCAATTATCGCTTCACGAAAATCTAACAAACTTATTTTATTTCCTGTGACTTCCTTATACAGCAAAAGAGAATTGACAATCGCAGTGCCCAGTATAATTTCAATAGCAATTTTGTGGTACCATTTAACGGTTTTTCGTACGCAAGCTCCATAGCTTGCGAATTGATCTGAAAGATCAACTGAAGATTTGCCTTTGTTATAGTCAACTACCATTAAGCGCTTTACTATTTCTTTGCCTCTTATTTGTTTTGTCACAGTTTCTTTGAAATGATAAGTGGAAAGCATAAGCACATCCCTCTTATCTTTCCATTTTAGGATAGAAATTCCATTTTCTACTTGCTTTACTTTGATTTCTCCTTTTTTTAGTTTTGCACCAACAACTTCTTTTGGGTTGCCCCTTCTGTTTGCTCTTAAAGTTCCCATCAATGAGTTCTTCTTTGAAGTAGTTGATTTGCTAGATCTATACTTGTGTAATAATTATCGGTTACAGCCATGCGTCCAGTATCTAAAAGTTTTTCACTAAGTTCTCAGACAACCTTGTTAGGGACTGAGTTATTTTGGTCAGCTTCTTTTCCAGAATAGATTTTCATGTTCCATGTGTAACCTCGTCCTGCGCATAATTTGAAAATTTTCACGCCGTTTTTATGGCCCTTATTAGGAATGTATTGTTTAAAAATTAATCTGCGTCGGAAGGGTATTAAACTTTCATCTATGCAGAAAACTCTAGCTGGTGTATAGAACATTTCACTGTTGTATACGAATTTGTCCCCTAGAGGTTGCACTTTATGCAGTCGACTATTTGAATCATTAGACTGATTATCCGAAAATGAAGCATAGTTAATATTAGCTCGAAGCGATTTCTTGGCATGAATTTTCCACAAATCTGGTTTTTGTATTTGGAATTAGTACTCCAATATCTTTCCAAAGTGGGCATCTTTACCAAACCCATATAAGCAATAATACAAAAAAATATAGATATTTCGGATACAGTGATTGGAGTCCATGTGTGAAATCTAGATGATTTTCCAAAATCTGAATCTTCTGACATCAAGCGCTGAGAAGCAAATAAATTTGTTTGTTCAACAATCATTTCAAAAATCTCATCATTTATCAAGAGATTATAGAAGTCATGGGGTTCTCCGTCTCCAAGCAAACTTATTATAGCCTCGTTGATACAGTTGCCGGGGATGTATTCAAAATTATTTTGATGAATCGAAGGAGGTCAGTCATCGGAATCAATTTCTTGAATAGAGTTTCTGGAAACAGGACAGGGTACAAAGTCCTGCATTTCATTTTGATTTTGAAAAATGAAAACTCCATGTAACCTGGACCCCCGTCACTGCTTTCAGTGTCACTCCCATTTGGTGAATAATTTTGATCTCGAGAATCATCAGAGATCAGAGTCATGGTACGGATCTAGAAAGAAAATGAAAGTATATAGTTTTTACCCAGCACATCAACACAATTATTCTACTCAATTGGAAATTTCATTATTTTCGATGAATAAATAGTTAAGGAATTGAAGCTTTGAACTTGAGTATAACAAGTAGACGTAATACTCCATCGAAGTTTCTTTTCATCGCACGTATTCAGAACCTTTCCTTGTCACAAGTATGAAATTGCATCAAAATAAATAACAATACAAAGCTACTAGTAGAAAAACAGTAACCTTGAATATATGGTATTCTAAGAGCCGATTTCACCAACATTAATATTATGGACCAATGGGAAATTACCTTATCGAAATGCAATTTGACTGAAGCTGTCAAAGGTCTCTGAATATTAGTGATTTCTATTGAAATATTGAATAAAATCGTGAAAATTCGACTGTATTACAAACAAGACCACTTTTTGATTCCAACATGATGCTTTTGTACAGAAAAAACAGGACAACTTTCATGTATTTTGATATATGTTATAGGTTTACATTTACCAATCCGTTATCCCCCTCAGCGAATGGGAATGCGGCAAATAATAGGTCAATTTTCTAGCTGTTAAATTTGGCAGCAGATTTGAACGTTTGTTAATGCATGGCACTCTCGAGTATACCAACTTCAATATACTGAAAGTTATCATTACATACCTGTTGAATAGTGTGGATTTGTCTGTATTTTGCAAGAAAATAGAATATAAAATACATTCCATCCAATTCATCTTCCTTTACGTCATAATAGTAATCATTTATTAATTTATGGGTTAATGAATTTCTTCAAAGCAATAAAATCATTATGTCCTCTCCATCCCAAAAAAAAAATATGTGTAAGACGCGTCAATCCCTATATCTCCCTGATGCATAATGCAATTACTATGGACATAGACAAAAAATTATGAAAAATGTTTCACAAATAATGTTTTTTAAGTCCAAAAATCAAAAAAAACTAGTAATGTTTATTGTTTATCTTTTTCACTGGCGAGGATATCTACCTGTCACTCGCAGGGTTGCCAAGTCTAACGACGATCACATCCCGTAGTGGAGGGTGCGAAATGAATCTTTTACATTTGCTGGTTTTGATTTTTTTTCGTGAAAATTTACTAGGTATCATGATTATAAGCATCTTTGGTAGATTGTTCGATCCGGAATGGGAAAGATCTCCTATTTCAAATTTGAAGATTTTGTACAATTTCTTTGAAAATGATGAAAGATATGTCTGATTTGGCAGGGTAATGTGGTACCGACGGAGCTATTTTGCGGCGTCATGGAAATAATTTTAAATTTTCATTTGCATTTTTTCAAGTGGGAAAAATGTCACGAATAGTCTTATAAAGCATAGTAGAGTATATTTCAACAGTTGGCGGAACTTACTCTACTGAGACCAGGAGGGTGAAACGGGATGTTAATGCACAATCTGGCAACCCGCAAAATGGCCGCTGATAACCACACAAGTCACCGTGGTGTCATTGAGTAGCATGGAATTAAACCTTCAGAGTATATGTTTTGTGACTGGTACCAAGAGTGGACAGATCCCACACATGTGTCACTCCTTGACAGTGGCGTAGCCAGCAATTCCTTTTGGGGGGGGGGTTACCCGCTATGAGAAGTGGCCGAGACAAGATGCGCTAATCTGGCGCTCCCACCATCTCGTAAATTATGATTTTTTAAGATATATCAAATGAAACAAAATAACTTAAATAAATAATGTTTATTTGAACTGAAAACATATTCTTTGGTTAAATCATTGGCAGCATTAAAACACAGTTTTAAATAAAAGTAAGTAACATCCTAATAACAACAACTAATAACGAATATATATTTTTTTTGTCGTCAGTCACTTTATAACAAAAGAAGTTTTCGTGTAGACTTTGCAAATTCATCTATAACTTCTTCCGCGGAAACAGAAACTTCTCGATGAATATTCAACAAAAACAATCCGTTTAGTCGATCCTGGCACAGTGTTTTTCTCAAGTATGTTTTTAATCGTCGCAACGTCGAAAAGGTGCGTTCGTTTGACGCTGTCGTTACTGGTATTGTGACATATATTTGTAACAAAGCAGCAACATTAGGAAAATATTCGTACTTGCCGTTTTCGAAAAGGAACGTTAAGCAGCTTAAAGCATCTTGTGGGGGATTTTCCAGATCTTCTGAAAGCTGACGCCATAGTTTTACTCGCCGAGTACAGTTTCAAAGCTGCAAGCTCCCAAGAAGTGTTCATAAAAATCATACAGTTTCTCTAGGCCATCTTCATTAAAATGTTTATTTGGTAGAAGTACTTGAAATCCTTGTACAATGTTTTTGTGCTTTAATAACCTCTCTTTAAGATGGCTAATACTAGAATCGACAAACGGTATAAAATATGCTCTTCTAAAGTATTCTTCAGGTACCTCAGCTGGAACATTGTTTCTTTGAGTTTGTCGAGAGTTTGTTCTAGGAAGAGCCATCTCTATATCCATTTCTTTACAGGAGGTTTTAACATCTTTAAAAATTTGGTTGAACTCGCCTTCGGCATTATCCCTGATAGATAAAAGCCGGTTTTGAACACTTTCAGCCAAATCTAAGGCCTGCCCTAGATCAAAATTGGTGGTCTGCAGTTGTTTGGAGAGAGGTAGGGTAATGGCAAATATTTTTGAAATAATTCTAAGCGAAAATTGGAATTCTAAGGTTTGGATGGATTTTAGAAAGGAAAATGCGTCAGAGGAGGAATCTTTATCTCTCCATAGTTGAATTTCGGAAAGAGCGGCGATAGTAACTTCATGCAACTCCAGGAAAGTCAATATGGCATCATGTCTCTCAACCCATCTAGTACTACACAGCTTTTTCAACTTTTCTTTTTTCGATTCTGTAGACACTTTGTCAATATGCGACTTAAATACATTAAGCCTTTTAGGGGTATTGAAAAATACTGCAATTTTATTTATTGTTCCCATACAATGTCTTATATGCGCTACGTCACATGAGTCTGATATTGCAAGGTTAAGCGAATGCGAAGAGCAATGCACATACAGTGCACAAGGATATTTTTTGCGGATACATGCCTGCACACCAAGTGTATGCCCACTCATTGCCGATGCGCCGTCATATCCTTGTCCAACTAAAAATCAGCAGTCAATATCAAATTCTTATAATGTTTGTAGGATTGTATTAGTCCTTGACCAGTTAAATCGATTATGGGAACAAATCGTACAAAATGTTCTTCAATTTTTCTGGTCTCTATGTTACAAAATCGTAAACATATAGAGGACTGTTCAATTCCTGATGTCAGTAGATTCATCCACAAGAATTGAGAAAAATTTTGCCTGTTTTAATCTAGTAATAACTTTATGTCTGATAATTTTCCCACAAATTGCAAGAATTTCATTTTGGATTGTTGGACTGAGATATGTCGCAGTCTTAGACATATTTTGTAAGTGTAGCTGCAACATTTCATCTCCTGACTTAAGCTTAGTCCGTAAAATAGCTCTAAAGGTTCCCTCGTTGTGTACAGGAATATCAGCAGATTCTATCGGTCCGGAATCGTCATGATCCCTTAGAGGAATTCCCTGCCTCCCACAAAGAATAATTGCATCTACTATCGGTACTAATTTTTTTCTATTTTCTATAATTTTATTTGTTGATGCTACATCAATCTGAAGGTCGATAGATTGCTGTTTTTGATCTTCAATTAGCTGTTGATGGCGAAGGAGTCCTTGAAATGCAATAATCAGCTGTATTCAAATAATGTCTAATATAAATATAACCTAGAATGTGTATTCGTGAAAAAAGAAAAATATGGCATATTTGTAGTTTTTTTGCAGGTTTTAGGTTTGCTGGTAGCTCTAAGGCATATATTTGGGAATTTCTTAATCGCTGTGAATACAGTGTGGATGTTTGTTCAGTTCCTGATCAACGAAAAATATTCAACTTTATGGATGTATGGATATCAAAAAACTTTAATGGTTCTGTGGGAATATCAATCTAAGGTGCCGTAATCGTTCTGATGAACGGCAAGTAAATGAATGAATGTTTGGAAACGAGCAATATCTTTTGGTAGAGCCTGTCATCAAGTAGGTGCTTAATGGCTATCTGCAAGAGGTTTATAGGAAAAAACACCCAGTATCGCATATCAATTGAAGAAAATAATATAAATATAAATTTTGACTGAATTATATGTAATTTCTTAATATTCAATAAGCTGGTGATGTTTCAATGACAAGCTGTCATCTCATACTTTGACAGTATTTTGTTTTCAACATGTCATAGCTATTCGTTGCTAAAATTTGTTGATTGGAACTTGAAGCTCATTCGTTGTATTTGACCTTCCATGTCAAAATCACTAGCAGAGTCTTCATTCCAGTTCTTTTCCACAAGGGACATGATATGTCTTGCTCTACTGCTCATTATGAGTTTCGTATCGAATAAATTAGGATAAATACGCGGAAAACCACTGTCAAGTAATGTCTACCAAACTAGGTTATGCAATACTGAGCATAGGAAGGTATTTCACACGAGATGCGCATCGGCAAATAAACTTGTCACGACGTGTCCGCTGACTAATTTGTGTCCGCTATTGTGTCCGCCATTGCGTGGCCAAATGGAAAAAAATTGTCCGCCGTGGCGTGATACGATGGAAAAAATATATTTTTACGAACGGCACCAGGGTGGACACCGGTGTCCGCTGAATCGCTCTTATGGGTGGCGAACTGGGAAGTTTTATGAAAATCGACTTGGCGGTGAATGTGTTGATTAAAAATTTTGTTGCACTGACTCTCCAAATTTCCCCTTCGTTATCTTAGCACCCAATATCAGATAAGGCACGTTGATGGGTCACAACTTTATAGAAGGCTTCAGGCCTGCAAGTGACGATGCTTGATTAATCTTCGACAAATCCATGTTCTGCAAAGAGAAACTCTCTCTCTCTGTAGAGAAACACAGCACTAAAAAAAAATTTTGTAATACTCACTTTTGTTTTCACTGCAATAAAACTGTCAGACACTGGTGGATTTCACACGTTCGGCTAGTATGAACTGCTTGTTGGAGAATATTGAATTCGAATAATGTCAATGTTTGTTTGTCAGCTTATACATAGCCTATCAAGGTGTGTGGTTACAGGGATGTGGTACAGCTTATCATCATATTATTTACAAATAATTTCCTTGCTTTTACAGCAAAAACAAAAAACAAACAGATAAGGTTTACCAACCTTCCGATTCGAAATTCAGTACGTCTACCCTAATCATCATCTTGATTGAGAATGATGTTGAAAACAAACATATTAAATAGCAAAATAGTCAGCCCCATTTTCCCAGAGGCTCACCGCCGGACCCCCCAAGTCAGGTGCACGAAGGGCCTCAATTTCTTCCGGATGATGCTGAAAGTATGGTGGGAAGCTGACCAAACAATTGCATTGATGTTTTACCGATCATATATTAGGTCAATGCTAGACTATGGAAGCATATTTTATGGCTCTGCCAGTAATACCTTATTACTTAAGCTGGACGTGGTTCAAAACACCTTTCCAAGAATATGCTTGGGCGCGATCTACATTACCGAAGACAAATGCTTGCAGAGAGATTCCTGATGAAACAAACGATTACCGACTCACAAACGCTGGTTAAGTTACGTCACGTCAAGGCCGAAGATCTGACCAACAATTATTGGATGAACCCCCCCCACTATGCAGTGCTTTCAGACAGATTCAAATAACATCACCCAAACATCCTGATCTGACCTCTGTCCGACAAGAAAGCTACTTCTCACTAAAGTCGAACACCAGAATCATGATACCAGAATGCAGTGACATCCCATTGTTGAATACATTTTTTTCCGATAGTCTCTTTTTCGTCATTCTTTCGATCACAAAGACCACATCTCTTTTGTTTCTGGTTCTGATTGTTTAATTCTCCCCTCTCTTCTTGAGGTAAAGCCTTGTTTAGTATTCTGCTGATATCTATACGAAGCTCCCTAGGTAATCGAAAATTGTATAGTCTTATATTGAGATATGGTTCTGCAAGTTGTCTTGCAAGAATTTTGTAAAAGGCTTTTCTCTCTAGCGCTTGGTTGTTTTTATAACATCCATGTAAAATGTGTGCATTGGCACCTGCAATATTCAATATTGTAAAAAAATAGTCATTGGTCATCCACCTAGTTCGCCGATTAGTAGAATATGTGGTACATTTTCGATCTAGTGCACCCACACCGCCTTTTTTTTGATTATAGAAGGAAATTATTTCAGGTTTACCATCTTTGTCCTAATATTCGGTGTGGTGCATTGATGATATTAGCACAACTGCCTTCCCTTTTTTGGAACGTAGGACACGATAGTGTAGTCGTTTGTAAAACCATAAATGGAAGATCCTTCAGATCTTCTCCGATTTGGAAGGTACTGCACAGGTTTTTTTTTTTGTTTCGCTTAAGCGTGCCAACATAGGTGAGTCCTCTTTTTTTTAAATTCATTCATGACTTATGTGGATGAAAACCAATTGTCTGCTGTGACATTTCGGTTTGAATTAGCAATCGGACGACACAGTCTCAACACAGAATGTGTTGGTTTCATGAAACCAACACAGAATGTGTTGGTTTCATGAAACCTCTCTCCTAATTCGTTAGAGAAACACCATCACTATCCGTACCACTGTAAATATTTCCATTATAGAAATAGTGGGTCCGTGCAGACGTTAGGGCCACAATTGTCAGTCCATATTTCCGAGGTTTATTAGGTATGTACATGCGGAATCAACATCTGCCGCGAAATCCTGTCAGCATGACGTCCATACAACACAATTCTACTATCGAATAGCAGTCTAGCAAACTTCTCGTTTAAGAAATGTGGAGTCGACGGGCGATGAAATCCATTGTTGCCCTCTCAATCACCGTGTGTGGTGCGATATTTTTTGTAGACTACCTGAACTCTTGTATGCACCTATGCAGTAACGTAATCTAACTCTCCTCAGGTAAATAGCTCGACGGAACCCATGGTGGTGGGGCAGGGGGTGTTTAAATTCCGACTCCTCTCAATGACCATGCTGATAGCATCGAAAACGTGTTGTTTCCTTGACCACACACCCATCGCGAGAGAAAGCAAAATATTGTCGGACTATCTCCCCGGTTGCAGGCCATTTCTTAATAGGACAAGACTAGGGATCGACCGATACCGATATATGATATCGGCATATCGTCGATATCGGCCTTTTTGACCGATATGCGTATCGGCCGATATGGCCGCCCATATGCCGATATAGGTTGGCCGATATAAAATAAGTTAACATTGTTGAATGAAACAGACAAAAGCTAGAAAAACATTCACTTTATTTAAATGAATTAAATTAACATTTGTCTCTAACATGTATCTATAAAAAACGAAACGTAACAGCTATATTCAGTCTTAATTTTTTTGAAAATTTAAGGAAAATGAGTAAATAAAAATTAAACATGAAAAATACTGCTTGATCTTTAAGAAAGGTGTAAATTAAGATAATTAATACTTAAAATTTAACTTAGGCAAATTGTGGTGTACAAATAATAAAGCTTCCGCCCTATCAGGTGTTAACCTGCTTCGTCTGGCATCATAAATGTTGCCTGCCTCAGAAAAAACTTGTTCACTCGCTACACTCCCAGCTGGTGCCGACAAATATATGGCAGCTAGTGGGAAATGTTTGGCAAATCGCAATTTATTATCATTCCACCACTGAACAGGATTGTCAAATCTTGCAATCACTGGTAGATTGGTATACGCATTAATTTCCTTGTCTAGTGTAATTACTGATTGGTGCTCCCGTTTTCGTTGGGAATTTCCAGATGTCCCTTCACCTGCAAAATGTGCATACGTCTGCCAGAACATCTCTCGTGAGGTATTCGGTGTTTCTGCAGTTGTCTCCTGTATTAGCATTTTTAATGGAATATCATCATCCTCACTTGCATTGTCAGCAACAGTTGTGCTTCCTCCCTCTAACTCACGAATTTTGTTTTTGAGTACTTCATACATCTGTTGCTTTTCTGTGCTGTCAAAAAAATTATTTTTGAAGCGTGGATCCAACAGAGTGGCCACTGTAAAGTATTCGTCACTAAAAATGTGGCTAAACCGCTTTTCTAAATTTTTTTAAGGGCGCCTCTAAGTGCGTCTACACCACAAAATATATCTTTAGAGTTGTTGCTTAAATAAGAAATCAAAGTTTTTACCAAAGGAATTACTTCTGATAAACAGCATTCTCTTTTGCTTGCAAGATTTGTCAACTCTTCAAACGGTTGTAAAATATTTATAACATCTTTTGTCAGCTCCCATTGCTGATAAGTTAAATCAGATAAATCTGGATAGTCCAGGATGTACATACTTATAGCTGTTTTTTGCTCAAGTAATCGTTCCAGCATGTAGTATGTCGAGTTCCATCTTGTTGTTATATCTTGGATAAGTCTTTTTGACGGGAGATTCATCTGATCTTGTATTTTCTTCAGTTTATCACAGACAGTCGAAGAGTGATTAAAGTGAGATACAATTCTTCTTGCTTTGATGATAATATCTGTCACTGATCTTTGGCAATCAAGAGAATCTTTTATTGTCAATTGTAAAGTGTGAACAAAGCAACTCTGGTATTTTATTCGTGCATCAGACAATCCTTTTTTCATATTTGCAGCGTTATCAGCAAGAATTATATGAATTTGGTCTTTGTCTAGCTTCCATTGCTCTAGTAAAAGTTTAACCATCTCGGATATATTGTCAGCTGTATGACTGCCTGGGAAACTCCTACATGCCAGAACGAATGATTCTCTATGGGTAGATACGTATTTATTCCAAAAATGAGCAGTCAAAGAAATAAAGGAGAAGTTGTTGTATTGGTAGGTCCATATATCTGATGTTAGTGACATTTTTCCAATCATTTGATCTATTTTCTTCTGCACGCACGCTTTGCATCGTTGAAATATATCAGGAATAACATTTTCACGAAAATACTTATCTGATGGTATTTCATAAGAAGGGAATGCTTTTTTCAATAAACGAGTGAAACCAATATCAGTAGTAAGGGAAAATGGTTGGTTGTCCACTGCTATCATCTCGCCAATCAGGTAATGGATTTCCTTTGACTTTGCTGAATTCAAGTCCCATTTATGAAGTCTCTCCAAAGCTGCTGAAATTTTTGGTTGATGGGATGGCCTATCGCTGTGATGCTTCGATGTAAATGGTTCAGAGTTTCTTCTTTCCTGCGTCTTCGAACTTTCCAGATCCACAAGTCCACCTATAAAATTTGATCTTTGTTATAATTGGATAATTATTTTGGATATAAAATTTAGAAACAACACCTAACTATGAAAAACATTACTCTTGAATAGACATACACATAAGTTTTGAACGAAAACTAGAAAACATTCTTACCTGGGTTATTTAAGGTCTGCATTTTTGAATACTCGTCTTTGTGATGTTTAGATAAATGATACTTCATATTTGAAGTGTTGGCTGTTTTCCCTCTGCCGCCCAAGGAAACCTGTTTTTTACATATCACGCATATAACACTATCAGATTCGTTAGTCCTCCGATCGGAAACTCTATCAAAATATTTCCAAAGAACGCTACTTTTCCTCATGTTTGACATTTTTTGTAGAGAGCTAAACCTGAAGCAACCAACGCCGTTCAAGCAAATATTATGACTTGCATAGACGTGCTTGTCGCCTACGTGCTTCGCCCAAGGTTACCGAACCGAAACACACCCGATGGTGCGCGGAAACAGACGAACCGCCGATAGGCCGTTATGGCCGATATATCGGCCTGCAACATATCGGTATCGGCCGATATATCGGTATTGGTGAAAATCCTATATCGGTCGATCCCTAGACAAGACAAATTGTAAAACCTTTTGACGCTTCGGTCTACGATCAATAACCTATTGTATAATAGAAGAGAGTCGACTCTCCATGGGCATGCTTATTCTAAAACCTATTATCGGTTCGGTATAATAGAAATGTTGACAGTATATTTTTTTGTAGACTACCTGAACTCTTGTATGCACCTGTGGAGTAACGTAATCTAACTCTCCTCAGGTAGAAACTCAACAGAACCGATTGTTGTGTGGTACACTCCCCATACAATAACTTATCGGTTCACCGAACACTCTAATTCGTAAGAGCGCTCTCTCCCCAATCCAATCCTGATGTGTGTGTAAAAAAGCGAGGAGGTTGCATACTGAAAGTGATTTAGTTAGCTTTCAGTTATTAATCAGTACACATACTTCGTTATAATGTACACGTGTAGTAAGTGTGGTAAAAACTTTACGCGGTCGGATAACTTACGGCGCCATGCAAGAAATATTTGCAAAATAGAACTTGAATCTACCAGTCAAGCTAAGAAAATCAAGCTGGACAACTCACCTGAAAATATCATTTGTCCATGCTGTAACATAACGCTTCCGAAAAACCGAATGACCAGCCACACAAGAACATTACAACATAGAACAAACTCAGCTGTGCCAATCAGTGATGGTATAAGACTTATCAACAGCGCGTTTAGATGCAGAGTTGTCAGTTACAGATTCAGTGCAACAGATGCATATATTAACTTTCAAGACGTTTTCCGCAACATCATTATTTTGACTTGCCTTATTCCACCGAATCCGCGTATACCTCGAGAAAACTGTTGAAATATTTTATTACTCTCTACTGCAACTATTGCTGGGGTGCAGCTCCGTTGATATTCTTGGAGGATAACTGATTTTCCAGTGGAAAACATTTTTTCGGCCAATACAGCGAAAAATTTTGACAAAAGATTTGACATCAATCATCTAGACTAGAAGAAAGTGATACGACCATACTGGGTACTCCATGAATAAGAAAAAAAAGAAAACTGCTGAGATTGCTTCAGCTACGTCTGAGAGTGCTAAAATGGTGGTAATCAAACCAAGTGATGCAACGGAAACACCTAAAAACAGTAAGTGCCTCAGAACAACAACTGAGGAGCTAAAACAGGAAATAAAAATATATGAAAAAGTTAATTCATACAGTCAGTTATTAATAGAAAAAGATAGATTGATTGAGCAACTTGTGAACGAGAACACTAGATTTCAAGATCAGCTGAATTTATTGTCGACAAATATTACTGAAAAAGAAACTGTAGTTGACGCGCTCAAGAAACTGAATTCTAGGATTGACATAATTGAAAAATCAAGTATGACAAGCACTACGTATTCGCAAATTGTAAAAAAGACCTATGCTACAAAAAGCAAGGAAATCCCATTGAAAAGCATAGTGATTATACCAAGCCAGCAACAAACAAGCCCCAAGACGCGTAAAGATCTAGACAAAAACTTATGCTTGTCTAAACTTCAAATCAAAATTGACGACGTGAAGAATTTTAGAAACGGTGGTGTAGAAATTAAGGTCCACGAAAGTAATCATGCCCAGTTAAAGGAAGAAATTCAGAAAAAATTGTCAGCATCGTACCAGGTGTCTGAACCGAAAATGTTTAGACCTAAAATCAAAATCGTGGGCTACCATACAGATGAACGAATTACCGAAGAAGAGATAGTAGAAGATATCACAAGACAGAACCATTTCATAGAAAAAGAAGATATTAAGATAAATTTTATTAAGTATATTGCTCAAAAAAAAATTTATATTATTTACGCAGAGGTCACAGGTAATTTATTTAAACAGATTTTTGAAGATTATAATGGAAAAATTTTATTAGGATTTCAAAATGTATCTGTATACAAAAATAAAGAAGTGTCTCAGTGTACAAATTGTTTCCGATTTAATCATTCTGGAAAAAAATGCCAAAATCCTAAAGTCTGTGCTCAGTGTGGAGAAAACCATGACACTTCCTTTTGTAAGCAGGCACATTCGAAATGTTGCAACTGTTTGTATTCAAATCACCAGTATAAAAAATCTTACAGTACCGATCATCTGCCGACAGACAAAAATTGCCCAGTGTATGAATTCTTTCAACAAAGACATCTCTCACGAATTTTATTTTGATCATTTTAGAATTATTTAGAATACTCAAAATCTTTTCTAAATCATGTACGATTCAAATACTCTTAATGGCTGGTAGTAAAATGCTTATCGGACACTTGAATGTACGTTCCCTCATGTCTAGTTTTGATGCTATTGTAAATTTAATAGCATTAGAAAATTTTGATGTATTCGCTGTCACAGAGACGTGGCTAAATGAAAATATTACTGATGATGTGGTTAATATTAACAACTATTGTTTCTTGCGTTGTGATAGAGAATCTCGTGGTGGTGGAGTTGGAATCTATGTTAAATCAAATTTACATGCTGAAAAGGTAGATATTCATACAAATTTTGGTGATTTTATCGAAAGCATTTGGGTTAAATTGGTTGCGGGTAAGTGTGAACTGTTAGTAGGTGTTTTGTACCGACCACCCTCTAAAAACATACAACAATGTGCAGATTTATTAAATGGTTTCCTACCCAGCCTCTCGTTATATCATCATAACATCGTGATATTGGGAGATCTGAATATGAATTTTTTTAATAACAATATATTCTCACTGAGTTTTGAGCTGATGGGGTTCACACAAATCCGTGGACGCCTATAATAACTTCAAATCGCTTAGAAACCGTGCTCTTAACATGATCAGGAGGGACAAAAAGGCATATATCGAAAGTTTGGCAAATGAAAATGATTCAAAAAAATTGTGGAAGTCTCTCAAACAACTTGATATAAATTTTCGTAGTAAATCAACCCTTCCGGCAAGTTTTAATGACCCTACCAAAATTAATGATTATTTTATGACTGTTTATAGCTATAATCCTGTTGATTCACTAGTTTGCGAAAACTATTTCAAAAATAAATTGAGCTCTGAATATATTTTTTCATTGAATAAGATTAGTTCAAATGACGTATTACAGGCAATAGGGAGCCTAAAATCTGATGCGAAAGGAATTGATGGTATATCCCTGTCAATGATCCAGCTTTGCCTGCCAGTTATTCTCCATCACATCGTCCACATTTTTAACGACTGTTTGGAAAAAGGCTACTTTCCAAACACATGGAAACAAGCTCTAATTATTCCAATTCCTAAAAAAATGAAACCCACTGAGTATAATGATCTCAGACCTATCAGTTTATTACCAATTTTATCCAAAATTTTAGAAAAAATTATAAAGTTCCAATTGACCGCTTACCTAGAAAAATTCTTTATACTTCCCGACACTCAATCCGGATTTAGAAAAAATTATAGTACAACATCTGCCCTACTTAATCTGCAAGACAATATTTTAAATGCCTTAGATAAGAAAATGGCACTAGCCTTAATTTCTATAGACTATTCGAAAGCCTTTGACAGCATCAATCATAAATTATTACTTGCTAAATTAAATTATATAGGTCTTAACAGTGTATCCCTTTCATTTTTCGACAGTTACCGTCATCAAAGAACTCAGTGTGTTTTTCTCAATCAAGAAATGTCTCAAGTGACAATAATTCCCTCAGGCGTACCTCAGGGCTCTGTATTGGGGCCGCTTCTGTTCCTCATATATACGTTCGACTTAAGCAAAAGTATTGATAATTCTCATGTCCAGTCATTTGCAGACGATACGCAATTGCTTCATTATTTTAACCCAGATAATGTCAATAATACTACTTAAATTTTACAAAACGATGTTAATAAATTAATTAAATACTCTTTAGATCACAATCTACTTATTAATCCACAAAAATCTAAAATGTGATTATTTTGGGCACAAAGAAAAACATACAATTTAACACAGCTCTTGAACATTCAGATAAATAACCAAATCTTGCAATTTTCTGATTCTGCAAAAATTCTTGGTGTTGTTTTTGATACAAAATTAAGGTTTATTGAACATGTTAAAAGTCTATCTCAGAAAACCTACCTACGGCTGCGCACTCTTATAGCAAACAGGTATTTACTAAATTTTAAGATGCGTAAAAAACTATGTGAAGCATTGGTCATATCTATACTAAATTATTGTAATATCTTATACTATACTTGTTTAGACAATTTCACTAAAAACGTTATTCAAGTTATTCAAAACAATTGTATACGATTCATTTTTGGCTTACGTAAATTTGATCATGTATCGGCGAAATATCCCGTTCTAAACTGGTTAAAAATTAATGACATGGTCAAGTATCACTATTCAGTTTTTGTTCACAAATTGCTGCTCACGTCTAAACCTTATTACTTGAAGGAAAAAATTTCATTTAATAATGATGTTCACTGTAGAACTCTCAGAGAAAATAATATTGGAATACCCCTGCATACGTCTACACTTTTTAAACGCAGTTTTTCTTACAATGTTGCTATTATTTATAATGACCTTCCTAAAGTATATAAAGAATTTTCATTACCTGTCTTTCGACAAAAAGTTAAAACATTATTACTCAACCCTCCAAACATATAATTTACGTAATTATTCATTTATTTTTTAATTCCATCTTTAATTCAGATTAATAATTTTTTGGTGCATTTGGGTTTGGAAAGTATGCCTTTTTCTCTTTTTTTTTAAATTTTACTTTCGATGTAATGAACCAAATCTGTTTGTGGATAGTGTATTCTTTTGAACATCTGCTAGAGACTATATGGTTAAGTGTAAGAGTAGCAGCATGCTAAACTTCGCCATATAAGTCTGACATTTGGCTATACTACATGTAATTGTGCATAAATAAAGACGTCTATTATTATTATTATTATCCAATAAAATGTGCTTCAGGTTATAGAAGAGAAGCTTCGAGTATATAGAGCGTTGAAAGTGAATATGGAGGTGTTTGAAAAATATGGGTTACAGAGCAAAGATGTCGTGGATATCTAGTCATTCAATACAACCAACAAAGTAATAGATATGGTAGCAGATCTACCTACTCTTTACAAGCATTTCACTAACTAGATTATATCACAGTCATCCGAGTTTGTAGAAAAGGATTCTGGTAAGTTACTTAGATAACAAATTCAAATCTTGTAATTCTCTCAATTAAGGTGATTGTTATTATCATGATTATCAAATTTAAGAGACTAATAATCCTTTCCTATTGTTTTCAGGATGGGCCATCGAAACTATTCTGTTTGCTGAAGTGAATATAAATAAGTTTTCACCGTTTGGAGGATCATCTTATATCAAGCTGCCACATTTTATCGAGAAAAAGAATGCAATTATCAACGTTCAAAATAAAGATGAGTATTGTTTCGCTTGGGCTGTGACATCTGCACTGATGCCAGCTCACGCTCACGCATCACAAACATCTTCCTACCCGCACTTCTCTACAATCCTGAATGTTGATGGTATCACATTTCCAGCTAATCTTAAAGACATTTCAGTGTTTGAAAAAAATAATGCTATATCCATCAATGTTTATGGGCTCGAAAATATAATTAAGAATGGTAATGTTACTTATGAAGTAGTAGAACCATTAAGGAATGCTCAAAATAAGTTAAAATTGCATGTTAATTTGATGTATTTAACCGATGATAAAGGAAACGGTCACTATTGTTGGATAAAACATTTTTCACGGTTAGTTTCACACCAGATAAGCTTAAATGGACATCAGAAATATTTCTGTTATGGTTGCCTGTTACATTTTTCATCTGAAGCGTTTCTTCATATCCATCAAAGAAATGATTGTGAACCATGTTTACACAAAAACCTACTGAGAAACTACGAACTGATAAATATGGTAAACAGACTCCAGGAAACATAATAAAATTTGAGAATTTTTAAAAGCAAATACCAGTACCTTTTGTTGTATATGCCGATTTTGAATCTCTATTAAAACCTATTGATAGCTGTGAAGCAAATCCAGAACAGTCTTACACAAGTGAAACCCACATACATGAACCATATTCATTTTCATATTTAATCAAATCATCGTTTGATTCAGAGGTGGTAAAGTTTGCTTTGTATCGGGGTGAAGACGCCTCTAAAAAATTCATTACGAAATTAGAAGCAGATTTGAAATTTCTTTATTTCAAATATATGAAGGATGTAACTCCAATAATTCCTTTAACATCGGATGAGCAAAATGAATTTGATATAGCTACAATCTGCAATATTTGTGAGAAACCATTTTCAGGAGAAGATATAAAAGTCCGCGATCATTGTCACATAACGGGTAAAGAAAGATCCGGTGCTGCAAATTCCAAATGAAATTTAAATTTCAAGCCACCAAACTTCATACCTATTATTATGCATAATCTGAGTGGGTATGACTGTCATCTATTTATCAAACAATTATCTTCTCATGGAGATAATATAGATATTGTAGTACAAAATAAGGAAAAGTATATCTCATTTTCAAAAAGCCTATATATGCATGATTATATCGATAAAAGTGGTACAATAAAAAAAAGTTTATAAAAATGCATATGCATATGCATGATTATATCGATAAAAGTGGTACAATAAAAAAAAGTTTATAAAAATGAGGTTTATAGTTGTCGCTTTTTACCGGGATCCTTACAGGCGTTATCAGTGAGTTTGAATAATGAGGATTTCTTTGAGACTAAAAAGTACTTTATTGATCCAAGGGTGTTTAATATGATGAGACAGAAAGGCGCCTTTCCATACAGTTATCTTGTTAATTCAAAGAAGTTGGAACAGGAAATTCTTCCATCGAAAAGTCAGTTTTATGATAATTTGAATGATGACGATATATCTTAAGCAGAGTATCAACGAGCACATGCTATTTGGAAAACATTCACCTGTAAGAATCTAGGTGAATACTCAGATATTTATTTGCGGTCAGATGTCTTACTGTTATGTGATGTGTTTGAGAAGTTCAGAAAAACAGTTTGAACATTTATAAGATTGATCCAGCGCACTATTATACGAGTCCTGGATTATCCTGGGATGCGATGTTGAAGTTTCCTCATGTAAGTTTAACTCTTTTAACAGATAATGATATGATACATTTTTTTTATAAATATGGTATTCGCGGTGGTATAAGTCAATGTAGTGATAGAATGCATGACACAAATAATGAATATTTACTAAACTACAGTCCATTGAAAGAATCCACGTTCATAGCATATCTTGATGCGGAAACCTCTACGGTCACTCAATGTCATCGCTTCTTCCTACAGGAAATTTTGAATGGATGAATGAAGGGTAAATTTCCGCATTTGAATTAGAAAATGTGGAAGAACATGGCTAAGACGGGTATGTTTTAGAAGTTGATGTGCGGTATCCCGAAAGCTTACACGATTCCCATAGCGACCTTCCCTTTCTGGTAGAAAGTATGATCCCACCTAATGCTAAGACGAAAATTCCTAAATTAATACCAAACTTATACGATAAAAAAAGTATGTTGTACATTATCGCGTGCTTCAACAAGCCATAAAGTACGGTTTGCAAGTAACCAAAATCCACAGGGTACTCAAATTCAAGCAGTCGTTATGGTTGAAAGAATATATTGACCTTCATACATCGATGAGGAACAAAACAAAAATAAAATTTGAGAGGGACTTTTATAAGTTACTTAATAATTGCATTTTTGGCAAATCTTTAGAGGACGTCTTCAATAGAAGAGTAATTGAACTTAAAACCCATTGTGAAAATTTACGCAACAACGTTGGTGTGGGGGCCTTAATAGCGCGTCCAAATTTCAAAAGTTGTTCCATATTTCACGAAAATTTAGCAGCAGTTCACTTAGGAACCCTGAAAGTGTGTTATTTCAAACCGATATATCTATGATGTTGTATATTAGAATTATCAAAGATAGTAATATATGAATTCCTCCACGGATTCCTCAAAAGTCATGTCCATGATAAAATATCTATGTTGTACTCTGACACTGATTCACAAATTCTAAAAATACACACCAAGGATTTCTAAGAGTTCATTAGGAATCACATCAATGAATTTGACACATCGAATTATAATGAGAACAATGAATTCAATATTCCAGTGAATCATTCGACCCTCGGTAAAATGGAGGATGAGTTCCCAGCAGAACCATTAATTAGCTTTTATGGGACGGGTGCAAAAGCTTATTATATTAGGTCAGTTAAAAGTGAAATGAAAAAGGCAAAGGGCGTTAAGAAGTCCGTGATACGGAAGCAGCTATCTGGGAATGACTATAGGAGAATAATCGAAAGAGGTGGGCGGGTATTGAGAAAAATGCATACTTTTAAAAGCAAACTACATGATGTGTACACCGAGGTGAAACATAAGATTGCTCTAGCACATGATGATGATAAAAGGTTTATTATTCCTAACACCACAAAAACTTTACCTTTGGGACACTCTGACATTGAGTTTTACCAGACTGACCCCTCGATGAATGTTAAATATGCTATAGGTGCAATCAATGATATTGCAGAAGGCACTTTTCCTGAAAATGGTAATTTAGACTTATTAATAAAATTAATGTTAGAGGAAGTTTGTAAGTATTAGATTTAGGCTACGTCAAGCTTGTATAGGTAAATAAAAGTAACATGTAGTAAAAAATGAGTTTTATTTCACACTTACAAAAACATTTAATAGGAATGAATAAGTCCATTTTGGATAGACCCATCAAAAACATTGTAAGTGAAGCATGAGTCATGAATAACTAATGCATGCACCTTGGTGTGGAATGGAAATGCAGATTTAGTGGTCTCAAATTCCAAAGATATGTCTACAGTTGAAAGTAGATGATCAGGCTGATGACTGCAATCAATAACGAAAAGCGGATTGTCATTAAATTCATTAATTTTTTTTTTGAAGGATCTCAAATGCATAATAAGCTGGGGTGTTGAGCTTTTTTTTCGAAATTCAAGTTCCAACTTTCATATGGGAATACTTGGTTGTTCAACTTCAAGCGAATCGAGTTAACGTTGGCATCTATGAATTTCGTTATATGAATCGAATGATTTTCTTCAACTGTAGAACCTTGAAATCCAATGATAACAAATAGAGGTCTCTAGTTTACTCGTTGTTCTAATTGCCCAAACATCCGATGATGTAGAACGAAGAGATGGAAGCTCATAGGGATCCCAAGATGGAAATGCTACCTTGATCCTTGAGCTCACATGTTTATTCAATCTTTGCAGAAGCTTGACTTTGTAACGATCTTTCGGCACGATGTGTTGAACCCTCCATTCAATCTTGGCTATAGTCAATTCAGCATCACATTCACCCACATAACAGTTTTTGAAGGATCTTGCAATAACCAACAGAAGCTCATGTTTTATATTTACAACCCCTTTTTTGTAGTCTTCTGCGAATCCCATTATATGTTTTAGGGGTATCCTACCACTAAAAACTTTGCTTTTGATATCCCATATAGCAGAGTTTTCGGCACTTAAGGTCCAACCACTACATAAAAGTGTATGCATAGCACTTTTACCATGTGACACCATCGTTTTTATAGTTGAAGTTATCCCTGGATTCCGAACTCCATAAACTTTTTCGCCACCCATCTGTAGGGAAATTTCTTGAAATAAAAAGGACAATGCATTGTTTGATAAGTAGCAGGCGTAAATGTTCCTTCGACGTAAATATAACTGTCAGCAATCTTTAAAATAAGATTTTGGAAGTTTATAGGGATGTGAACTATATGCCACTGAAAGTGGATCATCGTCATAGTTAACATCTAGTGTGTGACTGGGACTGCTTGCAGTCAGTTATTCGGTGTTTTCTTGTGCTACACCTGGTACTGCACCTGCAGGGTCGTACCATCTCGACGTTGCCGTCTTTTGCTGGATTTCTTCAAACATGAGTACCTTCAAGTGCCCTAACTGTTTAATGAATACGTCCCGTCAGGGATCGTCAATATCGTGTGATGGTTGTAATAAGGATGTACACCTCACTTGTGTAGGTCTTAGTGCTGATGAGGTAAGGGTTACTCGTATTAAGTCCAAGTCAGTCAAATTTTTATGCAATAACTGTAGTAAGTTTGTGGGCGAACTAGGTGATTTGAAGAGCTTATTGGAGACCCTTAAGAACGATTTCGCTACGAAAATGTCTGCTTTGGAGAAGAAAATTAGTGAGCTTAAGGCTACCAATAGTTCAAACCCATCTGATTCCTCTGTGCTTGAGGAGGTTGTTCAGGAAGTTCATGAAAGAGAAAAGCGTAAAAAGAATTTGATGATATCTGGCTTGCCGGAACCGACAGGTACTGATGGAAAGGAAAGACTGGCTTCTGTTCAAGCTGTTGTTAAAGATTTGCTTGGGGCTGTCGATGGTAATTTTACTAATCTGGGCGTTAAGGTTCTGCGCATTGGAAAATTTAGACAAGGCTCGACCAGGCCAGTAAAGGCAATCTTTCACTCAGAGGAGATGGTTCATACTATAATCAAGAAGACTAATAGCCTAAAAAACAATGAAAAATATAAAAATACATCGGTTGCTTTTGATAAAACTCCAAAACAGATGGAGCTCTATCGCTACTTAAAGGGCAAACTTAATGAAAGGATCGCGCAAGGTGAAAGTAACCTCAGAATTAAATATTTCAATGGGGTTCCGAAGATTGTTACTTTAAACGCATAACTGAACCCAATAACAGACCAAATTGTCGTGAGAGACTTAAGCTAAGGTGCTCCTACCAGAACGTTCGTGGTCTCAATTCTAAGACGGTGATAGTGAATTATTTCCGGCTGAAGACTGTATGTTCAGATGTGATCGTGACTTTATTCGATCTGGTCTAGTTTCCGGCGGAGGAGTCCTGATAGCCATAAAACGCGATTTCCATGCAATTAGAATTGACGCTAGTGCTTTGAGTCGAAACTTTCCGTCGATTGATACTGTATGTATTAGGCTTATTATTAACCATGAGCATTTTGTTATCTTTTCTATTTATATTCCGCCTTCAATTAATTTGGACATGTTTGGTCAGTACCTTGAAGCTTTGGAAGTATTTAACAATGCATTCAGTAATTGTAAAATAATTGTTGCTGGTGACTTTAATGTCGCATCATTCAACAGTGACGTTAATGATCAGAAGTCTCAATTAATGAGAAACTTTATTTCGTTTTTAGATTTAACTAATTTTAATAATATTCCAAATATAAGTGGTCGAATACTGGATTTAATTTTAGGAGTCCTCAGAGATAATACACCTTCTGTTAAAGAGGACGTTCATCATCCTGCACTGATCATGGAATTCATTACATCCGGATCTCCAACGAAATTCCCATTTGCTAATTCTCCACGGTTTAACTTTCGCA